GCTCAGTGGATTAAAGAACCTGCAAGCAGGCACACAGGCCTGGGGTTCAATCCCTAGCCCTGCATGCAAACCCTGTCCCCCCACCCCCCATGCTAAAATGGCAATTGAGACTGGGCGTGGTAGCACATAATCCCAGCTCTTGGGAGGTTGTCAATAGGCAGATCACAAGGAGTTCAATCTAGTAGTGAGACCTTGAACACCCTGTAGACTCTTCCCTAAAATACAAAAAAAAAAAAAAAAAAAAAAAAAAAGATAAAAGGTTAGTAATAAGAGCCCTTCCTCAGATGAATAGGTTCTGAGGAGTATGCTAAGTGAGTGACAGCTCCTCTTTGCCTTTGACTGGACCTGGAAAGACACTGGGAAGCAGAGAAGCTGATTTGTCTGAGCTTGGTTTCTTTGAAATGCATCTGGCCTGCCACTCATTGCAGGAGGAACAACACAATTTGTACTTCTTTTTGGAACACTGCCCTGGGTATTCAGACCCCAGGAGCTCTTCTTTTCATTATACCATTTCCAGTATGTACTCTCCCGCCCTTCTCCTTTTGGCTGGAGATTTCATTCTTGGAATCTGTGAGCCTACGAGCTTTGTTTGCATGGAATTAACTGATTTTCAGGATGATGAAAGCCTGCCAGGACTGGTCATTTCCCAGTTAGGCTGCAGCACTCTGGGCAGCCCCTCCATGTGGCCCTGTGTGCTGGTGACCCTTCACCCCAGGGCTCCATGCCTTGTGCTCCTGTGCCAGCTGCGCCTGCTGAGGTGGCCTGTTACTCCTCATCTGTTGACCCTGATCTTCACCATGAGACTTTACTGGACCCACAGGGAGCATGCTATGAGGAGAAGATTTCAAGTTCATAATCTAAGCTCCCAATTTAAGAAAATTTTAAAGGGCAAAGCCAAAACAAGCAGGAAGAAGGAAGCTACAAAACTACAAACTAAACTGATAACAAAAGCAGTAGAGAAAAAAATTCACAAAACAAACTGATTCTTGAAAAGTCAATGCAGCTGGGCCTGTAATCCCAGCCCACCTGTCATCCCAGCACTCAGAAGGCCGAGCGAGGCAAGATGATTACTACAAATTCAAGGTCAGCCTGGGCTATGCAAGTGAATCCAAGCCAAGCTGAACTACCTAACAAGACGTTATTCTCAAAAGAGAAACAAAAATGTCAATAGAACTGGTAAATCTGTAAGAAGATAAATGTAAATAATATCAGGAGGGGGCACAATCGCTACAAAGTTAAGGGGATGTCATGAATAGTGTGCAGGTGTGAACTGCACAACACAGATGACCCGTCCAGCCCTCTGAAGGCATTGTAGGGGCCAAGAGACTACAGGATGAGAATCTAGGAGCAGTGCTGGGTTTTTTCTTCCAACAGAGGCCCAGAGGGAAATGCTCTAAGAGAAGCAGCATCTTAAGCATAGTGGTGCACGCCTGTAGTCCCAGCTGCTCAGGAGGCTGAGGCAGGAAGATGACTTGAGCCCAGGAATTGGAGACCAGTCCGTGTAACAGAGACCCTGTCTCAAGAAAACCAAACCAAGTCTTAACACCAGCAGCAGCCTTAGCATGTAGTGGGTGGGACTAGGCAGGGGTCTAGCTGTCTTATCTAACAGCAATGGAGACAGCTCAGTGTCTGTCACCTCCATCACACCCCTGCCAGGCAGGGCCTCCTCCTTCTCCTGCACATCAGCCCACCTTCCCATGGATCCCCCTGCCCACCCTGCTCCACTAGTTTGACCTCGCCAGACCGAAGCCACAGAACCCACAGACTCTGCTGTGTCTTTCAGGGGGACCGGAAGTGGGAGCAAGCAAGGCAGCAGGAGCTGAGAATGCAGTGCACCGTCCCTTCTCTCCTGCACCACGGGGCTTGCAAGCTGGGTCACAGTGGACAGGATGGGTGTTTATGGCTACTCTTCAGTCAGCGAAATCTTTAAAATCGATTTAGGATGATTTCATCCAAGGTGAATCTAGGTGAAGACATGCGCTTTCTTGCTTCTGTGGCTCTTAAGTGTTAATTTTGTCATGGAGTCAGATTTGCTCATGGACACCTTTGCCTGGCTGCCCCCAAGCCTTGGGAAGGTGCGGATGGGTAAGAGTCCTAGGGTCCAGCCAGGGAGCCCCAAGCTTTGTCTGCACTGTTTTTCCCAGGTCCACTTGCAGCCCTGCTCCTGCTCTCCTGTTCCCTTACCCTTGTCCTCACTGCCCCAGGATAGGCATTCAGGACAGGATGGGAGTGTGGTGGCTTTCACCCATGAGACTCAATGCAGCTGTTGGGTGCTTAGTTTAGTGTCCAGGGCTACAAGAAGGGCCAGTGTGTGAGCCTGGCTGGGATCCTCCTCACCCTGCCTTCCTAGGGGTCTGGGCCCACACCAGGCCAGGTACAGAGGGGACGCTGCTGCCCTGTCCTTGTGGAGGTCTAGGGGGTGGCAGGTGGCCAGCAGTGTATTCATTCCTGTTTCAGAATGGGATGTGCTCATAGAACCAGGATGGATCTGGACTGGGACCTGGCCTAGATCTCCTATTACCTGTATGAGGATACAATGGTCAATACATTGTGTTAACTTGAGAAATCTAGCAGCTTTAACTAAGTAACTCAGTTCTACAGCCTGGGGTGAAAAGAACACGCCCTCACCTACTCTAGAATGTGGTTCATTGTGTCAATTTGAGAAGTTTAGAAGTTTGGTTAAGCCACTCAGCAGGGAGCCAGGGTCCTTACTTTGTAACATCCTCAACTTGTGAAAGAGGAGGGCACAGAGATGGGGCCTGACGTAGGGTGGTAGCTTCTTCCAATACAAGGGAGGAAAAGATGCTTGCCCTGTTCCTTTTGCTCTTGTTGCTTTTGCCATCTTCTGCTGCCTTGAATGGCTGCTCCTCCACATAACCCTGCCTCGGGGCCAGCTGAGTATGGACTGAAGCCTCTACAAACCGTGAACTAAACAAACCTTTCCTCCCTTAATTTTGGTGGTACTGGGGATCTAGTTCAGGACCTTCTGTTTGCCAGGTAGCTACTTAATTTTGGGAGTTGGGTATTTTGTCTCAGCAACAGGAGAAAAGTAACCAAAACAGAGGGGTACCTTGAAACGATGAAATAAAGACACATTTAGTAATACACAAAGGGAGGCTTGGAGGCCAGTGCCTCAGGTTGGGCAGAGGCCAGACTCTCCAAGCCAGTCACTACTTATTGGTATACACCGCAATGGGGGGCTACTGAGTGGATGATGATTGGTGAAAGGGAAAATCTTGGGATGACTGAGAGTGGAGGTGACCCCCATGCTAAGAAGGATCTTGCCTTGGAGTGTTTTTTAATTTTATTTTTTGGTTATGGGACTCAAACTTAGGACCTTCCACTTGCCAGGCAGGTGCTGTGCCATTGAGCTATGATCCCTGGCCCTGATATTAGTGGTTTTAGACACAGTGGGTCGGAGAGGATGGCCCATCCTAGAGTCAATGGGAAATTTCAAAAGGGTGATACTAATAATCCCAAACCTCCATTTATCCCTTAGTGAATTCATGGTCCCCAACAGAGTGAAGGAGAGGGCTGCCAAAGCTTCTGCAGCCTCTGAGCCACTCTGCAGGAGTGTGTGTGTGTGTGATGTGAAGCTCTAGGGGCAGAGCCTCTGCCCAGCACCTCCTTCCACATGACCATGTGCTGAGTGCTGGAACACTGCACTGGGCACACCTCCTCCCTGACCCTCCTCCCTGCCCATGCTGGCTCCCATGGGCTATGTTCATCTGGGATCCCAGGTCTCAGACAGCCCCGCACCACCCTGCACTGTGGTTTGGGCCTGGCATTCCTTCCTAGCTCCTGGCTCTCATCATTGCCTCAGTGTAATCACTTGCCTTGCTTGGTTAGGCACCAGCCCGTGCGACTTGTCTGACCACTCCTTGGCTTTGAAGCTGCAGTCACACAAGACTTAATGACAGGGGCGTGTTGTGGAAACTGTGTCCTCAGACACTGTGTGAACTCACAAGATGGGACCTACACACTCACAGCCACAAACAAGGACAGTGTAGTCTTCCCACGTCTGTGTTGGTCTGCGCTGCCTGAAACATTAGCAGGGCTGACTACTCATCGGCCACTTTCTCCCAGCACAGCAGGAACACAACCCTGCACCACCTCCGATGGACCAATCAGCAGAGGCAAGTGCTTTCTTAGATCAGTGCACTGAGGATATATACTCCACAATGATGGCTCATGACAGAGTCCATCGTCACAAAACAACCTTGGGGGACATGAACTGGGAGACCCCAGTCACCAGAGACCCGGCTCCTCCTAGCTCAAGGACTCCACCTCTCAGGCATGGCTGAACTGTCCTGAGCTCAGGCAAACTAGCTGGTAGCTGAGCTGAAGTCCTTCTGAACATGAGGCTTCAGGGCTCTGTGCTTGGGGGTTGGGGCTCAGTAGGACCCTGCCATCTGTTCCTCTACTCACCAGGAGTCTCTGTTCTCCAGCACGTCCCCTCGTCAGAGTTGGGGACCCTATCCCAAGCTCATTACTCACAACAGCTCTTACTCACTGGTCAGGGAGCAATAGGTCCTTCTCCAGATTGTCTGCAATCAGAGCTGGGCCTGCCAGTAGTTCTGGTGCCCAGCCCCGTTTTCCCAAAAGCAGGGGTCGCTCTGAGTGTAAAGCAGCTGTTCCTGCATAAGCAATTACTACCTAACTGTAGTTTGTCTGCTCTCATCATTCAACTCTGAGCTCAATGTGAGATGGCACCAAGGCCCGGGCTCAGTGATGCCGAGTAAGGGACAAGAATGCACACATCCAGGTGGTCAGCCCTGCCCTGGAGGCCCTGGTACACAGCCTGCAGTACTGTGCAGGGTTCCAGTGCACAGCAGCCTGTGATCCCCATGTCTGGGTCTGTATGCACACGGTACTGGAGTGTGCGTGTGCGTGAGCGCATGTGCAATGCAGGACCCCACACTCCTGCAGTTGCCTCTGCCTTTAACTCTCCTCCTGCTCAAGGCCCAGTGGAATGCATCAGGCACAGGGAGCAAAACAACTTGTATTAACAGTTTATTTCTGAATACCCAGAACCAGGTCTCTACCAGGCAAATAGAAAAATAGAAAAGTTTCCTACTTTTAAAAAGCAACTATGATAGTAAGTGTACACTCAAGAAAAGGGCTCCTGGGATCAACACAAGGAGTTCAGCCTCAGCACCTGCAGTCAATGGCACTGGAACAACAAAGGAGCATGTCCTCACATTCTGAGAGCAGAAATGGTGCTCTCCAGAGCTAGGGCCACAGCCCAGGCCTTGGTTACCCACTAGCTGGCCCAGTCCTGGAACCGGAAACAGTCACTTGCAATCTTCCACACTGTGTTGTTGGGGGAGGCCTGGGCAGTGAGGATGAAGTTCTGGTTGAAGTCCCGTTGTTTGTTGCCTTCAAACTTCACTGACCCACAGATGACAACAAGGACCGTGGTCTGGCTTGGTGTAGCCTCATCATGGACGGGCTGGCAGTCGACTACATTGATCTGGAACTCGCTGGAGGGCAGCAATTCAAAGAACTCACTCAAGGAGTCTTGTCCTGAAACCGCGTTTCCGTTCCACACCAAGGTGGCCGTGCCCATGTAGAGGCGGGACAGCAGGCGCCGTCGCTTATCCATGGTGGTATAGTAGACATTGACAAACTCCTCGGCTGCTCTGCAGGCCTGGTCCACATAGGTCTTGAAGTCCACAGATGCCATCTCAGTCTAAGAGGAAGGAGGCCTTAGACCTGTGGAGCCAGGGGCTGTGGGTGGGAAGGGTGAGAACTCCCATGAACGCCGGCCTTCCTCCTGCCCAGACAGTGCGTCCCACTGTGGCAAATGGCTGCATACTGCAGGGAGGTGACACCTGTATGCTTGCCTTCAAACTTTATCATTCCATTATTACACAAAGCACATCTGAGCACCGAAGGCCACTCCTTGCCAGCCAGCTGGAGCAGGGGCCACTGCCCCAGAGAACAGGCAGCTGCTCATTCTAGGTAAAGACAGCACATGGGGCTGAAGTGGGAAGTGGCCACTGGCCCAGTAAAGGCCGAGCAAAGACAGTGTGCACCCCTTGGTCAGGGACTCTGGGAAAGGTGACCTGCGCTCACCCACATGGCTGGGAGTGGGGCAAAGAGAGGTAGGCTTTCAACAGAGCAAGAGCACAAATGAGGTGAGAAGGGCTGCAGTTCCAGCTACAGGATGAAGAAGTAAACTTAAGGCCTGTGCGGCAGCAATGCCCCATTTCTTTAAAGGAAAAATCCCTAAAGCACCAAGAAATATTGACATCTGGGCTTCCTGTGTTGGGCAAAACTGTAACACTCTTTTATCATGATTAAAATATTCCCAGGGGGGGCCTCAATAGAAGAGGTTACTGTGGACATGTTCATATCTACAAACCGAAACTGTGAATAACATTTTCATTTTAAAGCCTTCATTTAAAAAAAAAAAAAAAATCAGCTTATGAAACAGGTAAAAGATACCTTTAGCTTCAGAGTATGGCCTTAATATTAGAAAGCCTGTTTGCTTACTGAGGGCTGTCGAAGGCATATACTTATTTTTGTTTTCGAGAGAAGGTCTTGCTATGTAGCTCAGGCCAGCCTTAAACTCACCCAGGATGGAAAGCTAGACTTTTCTTTCTTTCTTTCTTTCTTTCTTTCTTTCTTTCTTTCTTTCTTTCTTTCTTTTTAAAGGAGGAGAGGTTTATTTTGGCTCACAGTTTGTAGAGGTTTCAGTTTATAGTTGGCTGGCTCCAAGGCAGGGTGGCATGGCAGAAAACAAGAAGGTGGCAAAGCAGCAAACTAGGAAGCATCAGCCTTCCATTCTCTTCATATTTTGGGGGGTGTGGTGGTGGTGGTGGTGGGGGTCTCACCATGTAGGCTGGCTGTGAACTCCCGTGGTCCTCCTGCCTCAGCCTTCCACGTGCTGGGATCACAGGTGGGCACCTGGCATAAAAACGAGGAATTCTTAAGGCAAAGAGCTGGGAAGGGTCAGGCCCTAGAAACGAGTAGTCAGGAGCCGAGCTAAGACGCTGCTCTTACTCTGCAAGCTCTGAGTTGTTAGCTGCTACGTGCTCTACACAGCTGGTGCCACATGGGTACACGGGCCGTGCCCAGGAGGGAAAGAGACACACACACACACACACACACACACACACGCCTCACTCAGCGCTGTCAGAAGGGAAGGGCCCTGAAAATCCTGCCTGGACCATGCTGTCCTTTCCTCTGCTCCTGCACTTGGAAGCAAGTGGCCAAGATCACAGCTCCCGGGCGCTCGCCCCGCCCCGCCCCTGCCCACCCAGTCCCGCACCAGGTACCGGGCACCGACCCTTCTCCGCCGCCCCCTCGCCCCGCCCCCTCCCGAGCACGCCCTCCGCCCCACCCCCGCAGCCCGGCTCCCTCCCTCTCAGGCCCAGGACTCGACCCAGCTCCCTCAAAGAGCTGCGGCTGCGACTGGAACAAAGCAGGGGGCCGGGCGCGGAGCCCTCCTGCCCTCGGCCTCATGGGTCGCCGCCCTGAGCGAGCCTCCGCCTCGGGACGGAGATCGCCTCGCTCCTGCGCAGCGCGTGGGCAGCCGACTCTGCGACCCCGCGGCCCTCACCTGCGCCGCGCCCGCCTGTCTCCGCGAGGCCGCTATGAAGCTCGCCCGCCGGCGCCACGCTCCGGCGCCGTTGGCCTCGGCGGCGTGCGGATAGGCCACCGCCTACCTGTCTTTTGGAGGCTCCGCCCCGGTCGCCGGTTGGGGGCGGAGAACGCGCCGCTCACTCCGCGGTTCCCTCAGGCGACCTGACCCGCTTAGTCCCGCCCCCTCGTGATGGGCAGCAAGCTTAGCCAATGGGGAGGCGCTCCGGAGGGCCGTGGCTTCTAGAGAAGCTCCTTCCAAGGGAAGCGCCTTCCCAGAAGACCCGGGCAAATCCGAGGTAGAGTTTTTATTGGTCGGGTCGATTAGATTAGATTTCTGATTGGATCAGCCGTTTCAGGCCCCACCCCCTAAAAGTGGGAGTGGCTCCCCTGGTCTGGGTCTTGGACCGTAGGGCGGGAGGGTCGCGAGGATTCAGTCGTCCGCGAGCTGTGCCCTTCGCTTCTTCCGTTCCATCTGCTCTCCTGGGTTCGGGGTATCTGCTGCGATCTCCGAGGTCCTCTCCCAGCCATATTCTCTCCTCTCCCCTTCTCGACGTAAGCCACGTGGAGGTGAAGTCGGAAGGCGCGGGGCAGAGGACCACGCGGTCCCGGGAGAGACGGGCCGGGGCCGCCGGCACCGCCCAGTGGTCGCCATCCTTCTGCTATCAGCCGTGCCCAGGCATAACTGGAACCACAGCAGCGTTTCACTGAGTGTTACGAACAGGAGGCTTCACAGAACAGAACCATTCAGTGCTCATCCTGGAAATGTAAAGTGCAGATTAAAACAAAAACCTGTTTCCTGTACAGTGAACTCTTGGGACCGAACAGGACCTTGCTTCCTGTGCCGTTCAGGGCAGAGCAGCTGAACCTGCTCCATCCGGGCTTCCCTGGTCTCCGGTTGTCGCCCTCTAGCGTCATGCTTTGGGGACCAGGAGAAGGGGCTGCTTAGTGTGGGCCACCCGCCTCCATCAGGAAGGCAGCAGCCTGTTGTTGTTTATTATTCTTTTCGAGATCTCGTTATGCAGTTGAAATTGGCCTTGAGCGTAGCCCAGGCTGGTCTACAAACAATTGTCCTGCCTCAGCCTCCCCACTGCTGGGAATGCAATCCTGGGTTACTAAAACGTTGAGCTTGAGGCTGGACAGGTGTCTTGGTAGTAGTAGTCTTCAGAATGGTTTTACTGTATAATCGCCCTGGACAGTGCTGAGAGTTCACTGGACAGCAACCATACACTGCCCCGGGGAGGACATGGAACCCGGTCTGGGGCATGGCTGCTGCCCTTCCCTTGTGTGTCCCATCCTCTCTTCATTCCCGAGAAGTTAGGGCGGATTGCTGTTCTGGTTTTATGGATGAAGAGATGGAGAGACAAATTAAGTAGCCAGCCCGGTGTTACAGAGGCCTTTGGAACCTTGAAGTGCTATTTGGCAGAACCTTCTCCAGCTCCCAGAACTGCCAAAACCCAGGCCTCTACTCCGAGAGGCAAGAGCTTTTCAGGGTTCTGACTCTAGCACCCCAGATGTGCCTACCCCACGGCCTTGGTAGATGCTGCTTAAACACAGAGTCCTGGATTTAATCACTGTTCTCTCCTGGTTTAGCGGAGTGGAGCCCTACCAACAGCTGCCCTCTTTCTTGGAAGCAACGCTGGTTTCTACTTCCTCTGTGGTTCTTGAGTTTGGGGAGCTGTTAGGTGGATTTCCTAGTGGAACCTCAAAGAAAGAAACATCTGCCTATGCAATGGGGCCTCTATAAAGTCCAGATAACAAGGAGGAGTCCAACCTGGCTAATAGGCGGAAGTGCCACCCAAGCCCTCACCCCTTCTGTGCTAGGCCACTATTTTCTTAGAGTGTCAATTAAAAATAGCAAAGCATGATCCAAAGTAAGGATTCTTGAGAGAAGTGTGTGCTCCCTTCTGAGCCCGAATCGCTCCTTAGCAGGGTGCTCCATCCTGTACTGCTTTGAAAGCGGGGGCAGGCTTGACAGAAATCAGGCACAGAGAAACTGGAAGGCACACAGTTTTATTACACTATGGGGCTGGTGGGATTCTCAGTGCCACATCATCAGCCCTGTCTCATGGTTTTACGGCCACGTAGGTGTTAGAAGGAAGTATGAAAGGCAGGCAACAAGATATTTTACAATTGGTTACATTTGGTCATCCGTTATCAGGCAGTTTTATTTTGAGCAAGTTAATTGGGAGTCTCTTATCATATAGCAGAGAAGTCAAGGGCTGGGGTGCCCAGGAAGAACCCAGCTGGCCCATCTCTACGTGTAATTCCTTGAAACAAGCCCACATAGTGACAGGCGCTGTTGGGATGAATTGCACTTACCTTACAAGTTGCAGATGGCGCTGGAATGCCAAGCCTCGTTTTCTCTAATTATGAGAACAGGCTGCTTTGTTTAGCACGTCCTTGAATCTAGTGTCTAGCTGTAAGTTTGAAAATGGCCTTTATACCACTAGCGCAGTGTCGCCCAAGTGTAGATGACTTTACAGCTTCAGTCCCTGGCAGGGACCCCACCACAGGATGGGGTTGCTTTAGGGAGGGTTTGGAGCACAATTCTTGTTTCCAAGGTTGAGGTGCCCCTGGCTGTAAGCAACATACCATGGTCGAGGTGTGTGAGCCCAGCTAGAGGTGGTGAGAAGCCCATTGAGGACCACTGAACCCAGAGAAGGTGCTAAGAGATTACAGGAAGGGAGTCATTTTTCTCTTCCTTGGACCTAGGCTGTGTGGACAGTGCTGCGACAACTACTTGCTATGCTAAGGCCCCCATGATGAGGAGGCAGACAGGAAAGGTGAGCAAAGGTCCAGTGCTGGTGGCTCTTGGGAACCAAATCAGTACTGGAGTTTGGGGTCTTAAGAGCCAGTGTGCCAAGCTGGGCGTAACCTTGGTTACCTGCAGCACGCCTAGTGTGGCTGGAACATTAGCAGGGTGCTGGCTTCCGCCTCCTCTGTGGAGGGGGCGGTGATAATATCCTTTTCCTAGGGCTGACAGGACAGTGGAGGCACAGCTGGAGGAAAAGGTTGAGCCCAGGGGCCCCTGGAGAAGTTAGGAAGGCTGAGTTGTGCTTGACATTTTGCATCCCTAGCAGCTTCCTCGTTTGCCAGCAATCCCTCCAATAACTGGCTTTTAAACTTGGGCTGAGTGAACTAACAAATTGGTAGGATTTATCATCAAAGCACAGGGCAGCTTCTGAAGATGAGCCCAGCTTAAGCAGCTGTGGCCCAGTGGTATGGTTTGCAGCAAGGCCATTGGGGAGGAAGGCGCATCTGGTCACATGCTCCTGTTGAGTTCCTGGCAGCTCGAAAGATGCCTGACTTAAGGATCTTTAAGTGTGTAAACACAGCGCTGAGCCTCTTCCCCCATCCGTGTGTTTCTCCCAGGCAGGATCATAATGTGTTTGTTTGCAGCTGCACGACTGAGAGCCGGTTGATTGGAGGCACTGGCTGAGCATTTGTGCCTCTGGTGTGCAGCTATTGAATGTGCGCCTCTTGCTATCTGCCTTAGTGGGACCATGAGAGTGACCATGACCAGGGTGTACCTGGACCACATTCCTCTGAGCTCAGTGGTGCTTCACCTTTTGGAGAGACTTCCAGGGACCATGAAGAAGTACACCCAAAGTGGGTTTGACCAAGTGTTGTGAAATCGGAGCTCTGCCTCATCTCCTGGATGACTGCATCTGGGAATTGGGGTGTGGGCTCTGTCGATGCCAGTGGAGATGCAGGGAGCAGCAGTTGGTCCACCCTTCAGCCATGCCTTTGTCAGAGGGTCTAGGGACCGCTGCTGATAGAGCTCACACTTCCCAGCCTAGCCCTAGCCTTCCCAACTTGTGGGAGGGTCAGACACAGCTGCAGAGCCTTCGTGTGGGGTCAGAATAAACAGAATGAGGATGTTCATCAGTGCTTGGAAATCACAGAAGACAACTCTGATTAGGCTGAAAGCTATAGGAAGGAGCTGCAGGTCTTGCAGAGCCGACAGCAGACATCTGCAAGGTGGCCCTGGCAAGGGAGCAAGAACGTGGCAGGTGTTTCAGGACAGGAGCGGGGGGACTGCCGGAGCTGTGACCAGATAGAACCTAGCCCATGTGTTCTCACGCACACTTCTGCGTATACCACTCATGCCCACACAGGGAACATCTGTGCCATGAGATACACAGGCACACGTGAAAACATGCACACCATTCACACTCAAGCATACACTCACACATATGCCCACACAGTGGAACACATTGCTCCCATACATGTGCATACATATTCACATACATGTACACCTATGTATTGTCACTCAGGCACATGCACACGTGA